ATAGCCTGAAATTTCCCAGAGTACCCTAGAAATAAATCTGGTACTAAACCTACATGGATTATTCTTACAGATTCACCCATGATATCATTGTTGTTACCGTTGTGCAGGTCTCTTGTTAAATCTTCCAATCTCCATTGTACAGGCCCTGACATTTGATGTCTATCTACACATGAGGTTACAAAGCCAGCACAAAGTGTTATCTGCTTCCACTCACTTCTCCTTCATTATTTGCCTCGCAATTCATTATTTCCTATGACTCTAATATAGTTGACACTTTTTATTCTACTATTATAACAGTTCTTGTTACCAAGATTGACAGAAATAGACCCATCACTGTGTACAGAAACCTCCTCCTTGTCAGAGATTCTTATTCCCCTCCAGGAACATGGGGAGCCCACATCCTGTGACCCCACATACCTGGTGGCCCGGTCTACTTGATTCGAAGTACTCCATGACTGACAGTGAAGAAAGACCAGGACTTTCCAAAAAATCCTGCAATACTGGGGACTCTGTGAATATGAAGATTAGAACCATAATTCCTAGGATCCAACAAAGAGAGACGTATTCCGACCTCATCCCATCCAAACAACTAGACATGAAAAAGAAGGAAAAGTCATGGGATTCAACAGGAAAATGAGCACTTCATGGGTCTAAGGGCCGTGTCCTTAATGGGAGTGTGGGGTTCTTCTCCAGGCATTCGGGAGCTTCTGGGCGTGCCAAACCCAACCCACTGCCATCGAGTTGATTCCCACTTACAGCGACTCCCATTAGATTTCCCCTGTCTACTTTCTGCAGAGTGTCAGCTGAGTTTGAACTACCCACCTTCTGGTTAACAGTCAAATGCCTTAGACACTGCACCACCAGAGCCCCTTTATGGAGGATGCAGTCTCAGGAAAAAGAGAATCGAAGCTTTCCTGGAGTTGGAAAAATTGGGGAATGATCAGCAAGCTCTGGGCTAAGAGAAGGGGACATTTGAGAGGCCGAGATGCATCCTTGTCCTCAGGTCACAGATGCAGGACTTCTGCCTTCTTGTCATCCCCACCTAGCACGCAGGGAGCTCTTTTTGCTTCTGGAGACAAAGTGGTTCTGTGAGCATTGAGAGACCAGTAAGAAAAAGGTGTGTGTTTTTTTTTGTTGTTGTTGTTTGTTTTTTGTTTTCCATTGGTCCCATAGACAGAGTTGAGAGCATCAGGCCCTCTGGATTTAGTAGCACAGTGACAGCAGAAGCCAGAGCCTGAGCTGGCATTTGTCACAGGCAGGGGCAGGGGAGTACCTGCCAGATAACAGAAGAACATTCAAATCCTTATCTCACTTCCCCATGAGACAAGATTTCATGTTGCTATGAGGTCACAATCAGCTGTGTGACGGTGATAATTAGCCTTATTCTCAGCCTGAAGGCCAGAGATGCTCAGAGAAACCATGCTGCCAAACCTGGAAGCAGAAAATTGGGCTGAACCCTTGAATGTCCATCACTGAGGTGTTAGGTCACGACATAGGGGCTCAGTGGGGAGCCCATGTTACTGGTGGTCATGGTAACCCTCAGTACCTTGGCTGCTCCCTCTACAGGAGATGGAGACCTTGGGAGATGGGACTTTTCCAGGGCTTCCTGAGTGAAGGTATTTATGCAAATAGGGGGGAGTTTTTGTCCCTGATGTTCTTCAGACCCAGATATGCATCCTGGTTTGCTGAAAAGCTTCCATAAAGTACAAGAGGAGAGACAACACCAAGTCAGGCCTTGTGGGCTCAGGGAAACCCAGCCAGTTGAGTCTCAATGGACTCGGAGAGAGATTTCCTGTAGGGAATCCACATTCCTGGGGCCTCCTTCACCCGCTTGCCCTGGAGTAAACTCAGTGCTCTCCCAGCAGGACTGGGGCATCACCTTCACCCTC